AGAAATCAGTTACTAAATAAAAAAGATTTCTCTACAAACTCACTGGCATATTTGGGGATTTTTTTTTCTTATAAAGATACATCACAGCTTTTCCTTTTTTAATTTTTGTGATGATTTGAATAGATATGGTCCCTATAGACTCATGTATTTGAATTCTTGGCCCATAGGGACTGGAACACTATTAAGAAGTGTGTCCTTGATGGAGTAGGTGTGACGTTTCTAGAGGTTTGTCCTTGTTGGAGTAGGTGTGACCTTGTTAGAGGAAGTGTGTCACTGTGAGGTGAGCTTTGAGTTCATATATGCTCAAGTCACACCCAGTGTATCAGTTCACTCTCTGTTGTTTGAAAATTAAGATGTACATCTCCAGCTCCTTCTCCAGCACTCTCCCTTTCTGCATGGTGCTGTAAGCCAGTACCAATTAATGCTTTCCTTTAGAAGATTTGCTGTGATCATGCTGTCTCTTCAAAGCAATAGAAACCCTAAGACAGAAGTGGTGTGGTCCAGTACTTCTTCACTATCCTCCCTTTCCTTCATTTTGGAATGGTAATGTATATTCTGTGCCATTATATGTTTGAAGTATGTGATCTACTTTTTAAATTTTATTTTTATATGTGATTACAGTTAGGCGATTGCATGAATCTCAGAAGAGACTTTGGACTTTTAAACATTGTTGAGACTCTGAGAGATTGCAGGAACTTTGAAATTGGACTAACTGTGGTGGTTTGAGTAGCTTTGGCCCCCTGTTTGACTCATCTGTTTGGATGCTTGGCCCATAGGGACTGGCACCCTTAGGAGGTGGGTCCTTGTTGGAGGAGGTGTGACACTGTGGAGGTGGACTTTGAGGTTATATATGCTCAAGCCATTCCCAGTGTATCAGTTCACTCTTTGCTGCCTGCAGATTATTTTGCAGAACTCTCATCTACTTCTCCAGCACCATATGTGCCTAAATGTTACTATATTTCCTGCCATGATGATAATGGACTAAACCTCCAAAACTGGAAACCAGCACCAATTATTTTCCCTTGTAAGAGTTGCCATGATCATGATGTCTCTTCACAGCAAGAGACACCCTAATACAATTTTGTTTTTTTTTTAATTTTATCCTATTATTTTTATTTTATTCCTATATTTTCCTTCCCTCTTTTTTACCATACACGTCCTTTGCATATATATTATGACTTCCAGTTTAGTGTTCTATAGGATTTCTGAGTGTGCAAACAAGTGCATCTCTTTTCCTTGTGTCTTCTCTTGGGCTCTTTTCGTTCAGTTTGTTTGTTTTGCCCAATTCTCATGTGTTAAGTTTGGTTTTTTATCATGTTGTATTGTGTTACATTGAATTATTATCCCTTAGGAGCCTGCTTGTTTCCTAATGAGAGACAGAAGGGAGTTGGATCTGGCTGAGAGAGGGAGTGGGGAGGAACTGGGATGAGTAGAGAGAGGGGAAACCATAAACAGGATATATTATGTGAGAAAAAAACTATTTTCAAAAGAAAGAGATAAGGGAAGAGAGTCAACTGAAAAAAATAGAAAATGAGGTATCACTTCATATATACTAAAATAAATCTTTATATCTATTAGAAAGGCATATAGTACCAAATAAAATTGGGTTGGGAGATCCAGGACCATCTGTCCTCTGAGCACAGGTACTTCCTGAACTCCCAACCTATGATTAAGTCAGTTATGCCCAATGAACTCATTATAAGTTCAAAATATAGTATGTTGAATCTGTCTTTAATCTTCCTGACCAACACAACCACCACAGTTTAGATTAGCTCACTCTACATGTGCTCAGAATGTTTAGCTAGTATAGTAATAAAAATCACTTAACACAAAGCCCATTTCATAACAAAATGTTCAATGTCTCATTTGATTTAATAGATTTATCACTGAAAGTAAAAAGGATTTCTTTTTATATGATAGAGATTGTATTTCATATAAGTCTAGAATATATCTCTTAATATTTAATACAGTATTTAATTTAATCATTTGCAGTTTTATTAATTTTAGTTAATAGGAAATAAATGTTAACTATTAGTGTCAATACAAAAAATAGACAAAAAAGGTCCCTTTTATTTACAAATGTCTATTTTCTGACAAGATTTCAGGAGGAGTTGAATTCCTAGGTTGGGTATCAATAGCTACCTATTTCGTGGTGTTTTTAATAAGTGTGTTGGCATTGTTCTGTGGGCTTTCTTTTTTTTTTTTTTAAAGATTTGTTTATTTATTGTGTACACAGTGTTCAGCCTCCATGTATGCCTTCAGGCCAGAAGAGGGCACCAGATCTCATTACAGATGGTTGTGAGCCACCATGTGGTTGCTGGGAATCTAACTCAGGACCTCCGGAAGAGCAGTCAGTGCTCTTAACCTCTGAGCCATCTCTCCAGCCCTCTGTTGGCTTACATTAGAACTTTTTTGACCACTTGAATTGAAGTGATTACAGGTTTTTCAACTCCATCAGTAAATTGCACTGGCATGTTCAGGGATCATTGACAAGTCCAGGAACAAGCTGACACACTGACAGCTCTTCAGGAACATGATCACTTTTTCTTCTGTGAGTTCAAGTTTCATCATATTGAAAGTCAGGGTTATTTGAACCCAACATGATTAACCCAGCTCTTGCTATTAATTCAATTATGTGCTTTCATTAAGTTGAACAGAATTTGATGAAATAAAACTTTCATAGAATAATCTTCCCTTACCTACTCTCGTCCTTCCTTCCTTCCTTCCTTCCTTCCTTCCTTCCCTCCTTCCTCCTTTGTTCCCTCCCTCCCTCCCCCTCTCCCCCTTCCTCCTTCCCTCCTTCTCTCTGCCTTTCTTTCTACCTTTTTTTCTTTCTGGGAGGCCTTGAATGCGGTCCTTCCACTAGCACAAATTATATAGTTGAGTTTCCCACATCAACCATGTGTCAGCATATTCTGGGATACAATGGGTAAGCCCTGGTCTGGGAAAATTACCTACATAATCATATCTCCTCTGCCTGTTTAGTATTAGAATAATTTTCTTATAAAAATTAAGTCAAAGGGCTGGAGAGATGTCTCAGTTGTTATGAACACAAAATGCCCTTCCAGAGGACTGGAATTTGGTTCCTAACATCCTTATCAGATGGTTAACAACCACCTCTAGTTCTGGATCCAGGGGATCCAATACCCACTTTGAGGTTCTGTGGGTACTCCCTTATATGTGTACATATCTACACTCATGTGCATATAACAAAAATATTTAAAAATTAAGATATATCAGAAGAATTAGCATGATTTAAAAATTGAATATTTTCAAAGTCCAAGTGTGCTATTCTGCGGATGTCTGGGTTTCAAAAATTGTCATCTGTGTAAGCTTAACAATCAGCATGATTCTGTTAAGAAATGGAGCTTCAGAGAGGGGATTTGACCATGGTGTTGCTGTGGGACAATGGTCTGTATTATATTTTAAAGAAATGCTGATTGTCCAGTAGCCAGACAGGAAGTATAGGTGGGACAACCAGACAGGAAGTAGATGCGGGTCAATGAGAACAGGAGAATTCTGGGAAGAAGGAAGTCCTAGTTGGCAGTCCTGACCCAGTCACAGAAGAAGCAAGATGTGACTGCCTCACTGAATAAGGTACTGAGTCACATGGCTAGCATAGACAAGAAGAATGGGCTAATCTAAGAGTTAATAAGAAGCCTGAGCTAATGGGCCAATCAGTTTATAACTAATGTAGACCTCTGTGTGATTTCTTTGGGACTTAAAGATTGCGGAAAATGGGCAGGACAGAAACCCCAGTCAACAATGGTGGAGGAACTGATTGTTCAGTATTTTATTAAAAGGAAAAGGTCCTAAAAGCTAACTTATTTCTCCCGTATTGACATACAGATAGAAGATGCCATCTGTGAATCAGTAAGTGGACACACACTAGACACAGAGCTTCTCAGTTCTTTTGCCTTGGGCTTATCATCCTTCAGAACCATGCAAAATAAATATCTATTGCTTATAAACTATAAGTGCAAAAGACAAGATCTCTTGAGTAAATTGGGAGCATGGGGACCTTGGGAGAGGGTTGAAGGGGAGAGGAGAGGCAGGGAGGGGAGCAGAGAAAAATGTAGAGCTCAATAAAAATCAATAAAAAATAAACTATACGTGTTATATAATTTTATTGTTTGTAAGAAACTGTGAGGCAGTGTCTACAGATTTGAGATCTATGAGAAGCAGAAAGAATCCTGGACTTACACTGACTCTTAGTAGTCTTCAGTCTGTCCCCTCTGGTTCAAAGGGGGCCATCCCTACAGGTGAGTGGTTGTAGAAAGATGAATGAAAGCCCAGTCGGGGAACAAGCTCAGAGAAAAAGCCTTTGCCCTACATGTAAATTCATTTATGAAGATGTATATTTTGGTTGAAAAAAGCACTTAGTGATTTTATGTTTGAATGAGTCGAATTTCTAATTCACTGGCATTTTGGTGACCTTCCTTGATTACATTGAATAAGAGAGTTGCTGTCATACTCCTAAGATAGTAGCATGCTTTGAAAATCATATATATTTCTTTCTATAATTGTTTTGTTTTTTGAAATTGTGATTATATAATTTTCTCCCTTTCCTCTTCTCCTTCCAATTATTTCTATACCTTCTGCTTGCTCTCTCTCAACATAGTCTCTTTTTAAAATGACTGATATATATATACTATGTAACACATATGTTTTATATATATGCCTAAATACATACTACATATACATGAATATTGAAATACATAAATACAACTTTCTCAGTTAATATAAAATAAGTAGAAACAAAAAGAAAACAAAGAACATACTTATGGTCAATACCACACCAATAGTAAAGATGAGACACACACAGCCATACAATCCAGAAGACCCCACCCTCAAGCCTACCTGTCCCCATTAACTTCCTGTGTGAGCTTAGAGCAAACATTCATATTGATTCAAGTCAATTTCTGTTTTTTAAATCTGTAAATAAGAAATTTATGCCAGGTCCGGGCTTCCGCCGCCATACGCGCTCGCAGTGCTTAGTTATGGCAGAGAATGACGTTGACAACGAGCTCTTAGACTACGAAGATGATGAAGTGGAGACAGTGGCTGGGGGAGATGGCACCGAAGCACCTGCCAAGAAAGACGTCAAGGACTCCTACGTCTCCATCCACAGCTCCGGCTTCCGAGACTTCCTGCTCAAGCCAGAGCTGCTCCGGGCCATTGTAGACTGTGGCTTTGAGCATCCATCAGAAGTTCAGCACGAATGCATCCCTCAGGCCATTCTGGGGATGGATGTCCTGTGCCAGGCCAAGTCGGGCATGGGGAAGACAGCAGTGTTTGTCCTGGCCACACTGCAGCAGCTGGAGCCAATCACTGGGCAGGTGTCTGTGCTGGTGATGTGTCACACTAGGGAGTTGGCCTTTCAGATCAGCAAGGAGTACGAGCGCTTCTCAAAGTACATGCCGAACGCCAAGGTGGCAGTGTTTTTTGGCGGTCTGTCTATCAAGAAGGATGAAGAGGTGCTGAAGAAGAACTGCCCACACATCGTCGTGGGGACTCCCGGCCGAATTCTAGCCCTGGCTCGAAATAAGAGCCTGAACCTCAAGCACATTAAACACTTTATCTTGGACGAGTGTGACAAGATGCTTGAACAGCTCGACATGCGTCGGGATGTCCAGGAAATCTTTCGCATGACCCCCCATGAGAAGCAGGTCATGATGTTCAATGCCACCTTGAGCAAAGAGATCCGGCCAGTCTGCCACAAGTTCATGGAAGATCCTATGGAGATCTTCGTGGATGACGAGACCAAGTTGACGCTGCACGGGTTGCAGCAATACTACGTGAAATTGAAGGACAATGAGAAGAACCGGAAGTTTTTTGATCTTCTCGATGTCCTCGAGTTCAACCAGGTGGTGATCTTTGAGAAGTCCGTGCAGTGCTGCATTGCCCTGGCCCAGCTTCTAGTGGAGCAGAACTTCCCAGCCATTGCGATCCACCGTGGGATGCCCCAGGAGGAGAGGCCCTCTCGGTATCAGCAGTTCGAGGATTTCCAGCGGCGGATTCTTGTGGCTACCAACCTGTTTGGCCGAGGCATGGACATTGAACGTGTGAACATCGCCTTCAACTATGACATGCCAGAGGACTCGGACACCTACCTGCACCAGGTGGCCAGGGCAGGCCGGTTTGGCACCAAGGGCTTGGCTATCACATTTGTGTCAGATGAGAATGATGCTAAGATCCTCAATGACGTGCAGGACCACTTTGAGGTGAACATCAGTGAACTACCTGATGAGATTGACATCTCCTCCTATATTGAGCAGACGCAGTAGAGAAATCACCCAGTCTGGAGTGTGGCCGTCTCTTGAGTTAGAAGAGGACACCAGGGATCAGGGTGGAGACACCACTGTCCCCCGCCCCTGCCAGCCCTCACCCTATCCTGCCCATGCTTCCCTCTGTCACCACCACTCCTGCACCTGTTCCTGATTTATCAGAGTTGTTGTTTGTTTGTTTTTAACAAAACTAAGTATGAAACTGCAAAAAAAAAAAGAAAGAAATCTATGCCAGATACCTTAGATGTCTTTTTATCCCTGAAAAAAAATTAGCTTCTGTGGCACGTTTGCAGCTGTGTAAGTCCAGTTCTAGTATTTTCAAGAGTACTCCAATGAGACAAATCCATACCAAGACCAGGTATGAAAATGCTTCTCATCTTTAAATTATTACTGCCTCTCACTTCCTACAGCATTGGTAAATGGAGACAATCTTTTTGTAAGATATAACATTTCTCCTTGATTATTTCACACCTTTTTAAAGTTTCAAAATATTTTTTTCAAGAGCACAAAATTTAAGATTTGTATCTCTGTGTGTGTGTGGTGTGCGCATATGTGCACAGGTGCCCATAACTGTGTGCAGAGTTTTGAGGAGGGTGTCTGGTGTCCTCCTCTATCACTCTTGACTTTATTCCGTGAAGCAGGGTTTCTTCCTGAATCTGGAGCTTGGATTTGGCTATGCATATGGCAGCCAGCAAGCTGCAGCTATCCACTTCTCTTGGCTTTCCTCAGTGCTAGGATTGCAGGTGCCTATGAGACCACACCCAGCTTGTTACAAGGATGTTGGGATTGTAGGTGCCCATGAGACCATGCCCATCTTATTACAAGGATGCTGGGATTGCAGGTGCCTATGAGACCACACCCAGCACATATTATAAGGATACTGGGATTGTAGGTGCCTATGAGGCCACGCCCAGCTTGTTACAAGGATGTTGGGATTGTAGGTGCCCATGAGACCATGCCCAGTTTATTACAAGGATGCTGTGATTGCAGGTGCCTATGGGACCATGCCCATCTTATTACAAGGATGCTGGGATTTCAGGTGCCTATGAGACCATGCCTGCTGTATTACAAGGCTGCTGGGATTGCAAGTCTTCATGGATGTTTATCAAGAGCTATAATCCATGAAGCAATATCTCTAACCCCTTCAAATTTTCTTCAAGATAAAGAAGGTGGGGTGTTACATGTGACAGAGCTAAGATATATTTAAAAGGTTCTAAAACAGATGAATCCTATGTAGGAATGTTGGCATTGATCTCTATTCTCTCTTTAAATCTTTCTCATACTAGAATACATTTCAAACTTCCCCTGTTAGATGTCTTGTCACTAATGTCACTCAAGTACTTGATAGCTCAATCTCAACATGCTTACACCCTATTCATTTTATTGTCCCACTAATATCCCCCGGTTTTAATAATGCTTAGTTTTGGATAGACATCTATCCCAGTGACATGATTGTGTAATACACTGATATGTAACCTTACAACCATCTCTATTCTGGCCAGTTAAGTTTACTCTGACAAAAGAAAAAAACATCTGGGCTGTCAACTACATAGACTTTAACCAGCTACTTCTCACAGAAAGTATAAATACTAACATATTACAAAGCTGAGAGGTCCATAGACCTTGCCAACACTACCTCACTGAGCTCTCAGGAGCAGTGACTTCTGTTCACCTTCAAACCCTTATGTCTAAGCTCAGAGCCCTGTGTTTTACAAAGGTTTTATCTTCACTCTGCCAGTGCTCTGCCCGGCTCTTATCTCAGTAGAGAGAGTCTGTGCTGTGTCCCACTGGCATCCCAAGAAGGCGTAAGAAGAAACTCTATGCTTGGGTCATGTGTGTCGTTGTTTAATCAGAACTTTAAAATGCATTATTTTGTTTGGTTAGCTTTACACAGTATTTTGCATGTAATTTGCTATTGGACAATATATCAAATGCTAGATATTTTTATAGAACTGTATGAGTTTGAATATTTTGTGTCCTTGTATGTACAAGAGAAGAAAACACTGATTAAAATAAATTATAGTAATTTCTTTTCTCATCATATATGTCTATATATGATGTCTTTTGTAATATGTATTAATAATTACATATATTGAAAGACCCTCAGAGTGGCCCTTCCCTCAGGAGGAGACCCCTAACCCAAGGAACAGTCGAGACCACAGGCTGTAATTAGCAAGAGGTTTATTGGGTGGGCACAGGTACCTGTGGGCAGCAAAATCCTTTCGGAGGACTTGTGCGCCTGCAGGCTGGGAGAAGGTCTTTTTATAGGAAAAGGGTGGCAAAAGCAGAAGCAATGCATGGTTACAGGGATCTCATTGGTCAGTTCGAATGAGGCGATGGGTTCATTTAGGGGACAAGTTCCCCGGAGACATGAAGGTCTGATAATAATAGCAGACTTGGCCCTATCTAGGGTACATGTAGTTTTTCCCAGAACTGTTCGTTCCCCTCCTAGGCCTGGTATCTGACCACAGATATCCTGTTTGACCACCTAGGAGTACTGACTTTACCTTGAACTTACATTTATTTGTGTGAAGGCTTTGCAAAATGGCATTTCAGCAGCTAAACTGGGGTCTTTCAATATATACATGTATAAAACTGAACACCTCAATATTACCAGTCTTGAACATATGGAACAGTGCCTATTTTCTCATAATTTTTATTTGAATTAGGTCACAGAATTTATAGTTAATTTCCAATCATTTTTTGGCAATGTTTGTTGCTTCTATTTCCAGAAGATAAAGCATGTTGCAAGAATAAGCTATTTCTGAATTGTTCTGTGTTTTTATATTTTATTAACCTAACCCCATATTTATCTTTAGGTGTTTATGTCTAAGTGATCTAATAAAATTTTTGAGAGAACTATTGCATGTGTTTGTCTGTTGTTTTACAGCAGCATCCGTTCCTAATCAAGGTGATAGACTCAACAGGACCCACACAGGTCATAGGAATATTCATGTTGAGAAAGAACCTTTTGGGGCATTTGATAGATTTCCTGTTTTGCTGGTGAGTGTCTTCCATTAAAGGGGTGACAAAACATTATGGCTGGTAAATAACACAGATTAGGACTGAGACTAATATGCATTTTAGATATAATCTCAGACCGGCTATTCACAGAGCTTTGTGTATTTTTAAAATGGCTTATTCAGTTATGGCATTCATTATGAGGAACATGGACCAATGAAAAGACAGGGTAGAGGAATGACTCTCCTTAGAGAAGCATGAAAAAATTATGAAACATTGTTTGACCTTAAACCTAGATTAAGCTAGTCCAGCCTGTGGAAGCTTCAATGGCTTATGGAAATCTCCTTGGTAGTTTGTCTAACTTCCTCTAAAACAAGAACTACTGAAAGCCTCCATCCTCCATTCTAACCATTGCCAGAGTTTAGAAAATAATTTCTTTGTGGTTTTGCCTGAAGCCATTACTTTTCTGAACTCAAAGATTATGTCCTGAATAGCAATAATCTATGGATCTGTAAAAGCAGCTCCTACCTGAATCATTCCAAAAAGCCAGTTTCTGAAGCTACGATTGTCGTTTATCAGAAACACCAGACATGAACTCTATAAAGATTGTGCACGTGTGTGTGTGCATGTGTGTGTGTGTGGTGTGTACTCAAGTGTGTGGTCGGCAATGAAATGAGAACAATACTTTTAAAGACTTTCTTGTAATAAATACTTAATTAGAAAATTTTAGAGTTCATTTTGGTCTTAGGGGAAGTGCATGGACAAAAAATAAGCCCCCAAATAGTTGAATTCTTTTAGAACTTAAATTATTCTTAAGGTTTTTGTCAAATGATTTTGTCCTTTAATTACAAGAACAATTTTTAACATAGGGTAAATCCTGTGAGGTACCATTTAGTTCATTGTGGTAGTAATTTAAGAATTGGTCCCCTGGTGACTTGACAGATTTCACACTATTTTTCAAAGTGCCAAAACTTGTATTCAGACACAGAGAAAACCTGGGATATAATCTACGTGAACTTTCTTACAAAGAGACTATAATTACTGACCTACAAAACTTAGGTTTCTGTAGGTGTTATCAATGCCACCTCACTGGGCTCTCAGGAACAGTGACCTCTTTTCACCTGAAAGCCATTATGCTTGAGCCCTGTGTTTTAGAGGGCTTCACCACCACTGTGCTAGTGCACTGGTGGGCTCTTATCTCAGCAGAGAGAACCCCTGCCTGTGCCCTTACAGCTTTTCAAGAGGCAAAGAGAAGACACCCTGATCATGTCAGAGATTTTCAGAATTCCAAAACCTTAACACAGTCTCAGGGAAGAAAATGTATGAACAAGGCAAAACACATCCACATAGCCAAGCCTTGTAATACCACCCCCAACTCCCCACCCCTGCCAGATCTGTGCTGTGCAGAGTCTTTTGGAGAACATATTGGCATTGCACACAATATGAAAATACCAGATTTGCAGAGAAAGTGTAGAGAGGGCAACAGTTGCACTTCCAGGCTTCAGGGTCTGAGCTTAAATAACTTAAAGGTGATGCTTTCAATCCTCTCTCTTTAAAGCATTATTATTCGTTTCAGCTTCACTTCAGCATGTATTGTGGCATCTCCCGCATGGGTTATGGTGAGAAATAATATCAATGAGTTTAAAGGAGCCTTTTTCCTTTTGAACAAAGCATTGTTATTTAAATGTGAAATAAGTGTTTCTTGTTTCTGAATCTGTTTGTCACGTCTCAGGAGCAGAACAAGTCAGAGTGAGACTCTCAGCCCACTGAAAGACTTAACTGAATCAGATTCACTGGACGCCTTGCTTCAAAAGACGTGTTTGCAGAGTTGAGGCTCCCAGACACACACAGCAACAGTCATGCCTCCCAACGTGTGGTACCCAGTTAGTGAGCAAACGCTTTTTAAGGAGGCAACTGAGAGGAATATCTATTACAGCAGACATTTCAGTCCCCTCCTTTGGGTGTTCCTAGCCCTGCTTTGGATTAGCAGATTTCCAAAAGGTTAATCTTCATGGTTACATCCTAACTGTGTGCTTGGAAATGGAGCACACACAGATCTCATGAGCTAACAGCATACGACAGATGACACATCGAGATATTCTTCACGCGTACCATTTCCAACTCCCGCCACCTACTTAACCACAATGGGCCTT